GGCTGTAAATCTTTATGGAAGCAGACTGCCTGTCTTTCTCTAGAGGGAGCAACTGGCGGTCTGAACTGCCAGCCTTTCAGTTAGCAGCTGAGCACTTAACCACTGCACCACCAGGGCTCCTCAGGCACACTTTGTTGCTGTTGTTGTTGTTGTTATTTGCCGTCGAGTCGGCCCCAACTCATAGCGACCCCTCCTTGGGTTTCCGAGGCAGTATCACTACGGAAGTAGGATTGCCCAACCTTCCTTCCGAGGAGTGGCTGGTGGGTTTGAACCGCCAGCCTTCTGGTTAGCAGTCAAGTGCCTTAGCCACTATGCTACCAGAGCTCCCATTGTTGTTGTTAGGTGCTGTCAAGTCAGTTTCAACTCCTAGTGACCCTGTGCACAACAGACCAAAATATTGCCCAGTCCTGTGACATCCTCATAGTCATTCCTGTGTTGGAGCCTGTTGTCACGGCCACTATGTCAGTCCGTCTCCTGGAGGGTCTTCTTTTTTGCTAACCCTTTACTTTACCAGTCATAATGTCCTCCTCCAGGGAGTGGTCCTTCCTGATAAAGTATCCAAAGTGTAAGAGATGAAGTCTTGCCACCCTCACTTCTAAGGAGCATTCTGGCTGAACTTCTTCCAAGACAGATTTGTTCCTTCTTCTTACAGTTCATAGCATATTCAATATTCTTGGCCAGCAGCATAATTGAAATAAATCAGTTCTTCTTTGGTCTTGCTTATTCATTGTCCAGCTTTCACAAGCAAAATGAAGTGATTGAAAATATGATGGCTTGGGTCAGGCACACCTTAGTCCTCAAAATGATGTCTTTGATGTTTAGCTCTTTAAGGTGTTCAAGTCTGTAAAGGTGTTTGGAAACAGATTTACCCAATGCAATGTGTTGTTCGATTCCTTGACTTCTGCTTCATGGATATTGATTGTGGAGCCAAGTAAAATGATTCCTTGGCAACTTCAGTCTTATCTCCATTTATTATGATGTTGCTTATTGCCCCCTTGTGAAGATTTTGGTTTTCTTTATGTTGAGATGTAATCCATACTGAAGACTTTAGTCTTTAACGTTCATCATTAAATGCTTCAAGTCTTCTTCACTTTCAGCAAGCAAGGTTGTGTCATCTGCCTATTACAGGTTGTTAATGAGTCTTCTTCCAATCCTTATGCCGTGTTCTTCTTCATGTAGTCCAGCTTCTTGGATCATTTGCTCAGTATACAGATTGGATACGGCCCTGATGCACACCTTTTCTGATTTTAAATCACACAATCTCCTTGTTCCCTTCAAACGATTGTCTCCTTCTAATGGTTTTTTTTTTTTTTTCTTCATAATACTTGTCACAATCTGAAATAATTATTTGTTTATATATCTGTTATCTGTCACCTTCTACCAGAATGTAAACACTGTAAGGACTGGCACTTTGTCTCCTCCGTTCACTATTAGCTCCCCAAAGACAGCAAGCAGATGATGTAGTGGTTAGGAGGCTGACTGCCTATATTTAAATGCAGGCTCTGCTACTTACTAGCTGGGTGACCTTGCATAAGTTCATTAACTTCTTATGCCTCCATTTTCTCACCTGCAAAATGGGAGTGGCACTGAAAGTACAGGCCTTTGAAGAAATTGCAGGTTCAGTTCTAGAGCACCACAATAAAGCAAATATCATAATGAAATGAGTCACATGAGTTTTTTGTTTTCTCAGTCTGTATAAAAATTATACTATACTTCATTGTATTAAGTGTACAATAGCATTATGAAAAGTTTGAAATATTGTGATTATTCCCAAAATGTGACACAGAGACACCAAGTGAGCCCATGCTGTTGGAAAAATGGTGCCAGTAGACTTGCTCCATGTAGAGTTGTCACAAGCCTTCAATTCGTGAAAAATGCAGGATCTGCAAAGTGCAACAAAATGAAGTGCAGTAAATTAAGGTGCACCTGTGTCTGCCTCCTGGGGTCGTTGTGGAGGAGTCCATGAGTAGTGCAAACAGGTAAAGTGTTTGGCTGCTGACCAAAATGCTAAAGGTTTGAGTCCACCCAGAAGTGCTTCAGATGAAAATGCCGTGTGATCTGCTTCTGAGAAATCAGAGTGGAACTGCCATCAGTTCTCCTCTGGCACATATGGGGTCACCATGAGTTGGAGTCCACTTGATGGCAACTGGTAGGGTGATTGACGAGGTTAAATGAGGTAACATGTAAAGCAATTAGAACATTGACTGGTACCTAGTAAGAGCTATGTAAATATATGCTATTATTATTGTCTAGAATAGTATTATTACCTCATCATTGTAAGCATTCAAGAAATATATGGTGAATAAATGAATAATCAAAACTGTTAAAATCACCCTTCTACTGCACAAGCTCTCAGTTGAGACAGAATTTCCCAAAGCAGTGTGTAGTACTCAATGGAGGGTTTTACTTTACCTTTTTTGGGCAAAAAATATTTATATCTCTGCCAGCCCTTATGTGTGCGTGCATGTGTGCACACACATGTGCACATGTCTGAGGCAGCATTTACATGCTCATAAGGGGAGAAGCCCTCATTTGTCCCGAGATTGCTGTATTGCCAGAAACAATTAGTAATTAGAAAGAGATTTACGCATCTCTAAACTGTGACTTCTGTTCAGCTTTTTTACTTCATGTCTTCCATTTGCTTGAACTACTCTACGTTCAAGAGCAAGTTTCAGAGTCTCTTTTGGCATCCATTTTGTACTATCCTGTCTTTTTAATGACCTTTTGTTTAAGAATAGGGGATGAATAGGTCTTGTCTTGGTTTTTCTATGGTGGCAACATGGGTGTTGAAAATCAAGGATACTGTATTGGTTGTGTTGGCATACCCATTAATAGACAATTAGATTCACATGTTTGGAGTGTAGGGTGAGTATTGGGAATTTCAGTGTGGGCATTGTCAGATGTATGGGCTCACCTAGGGCAGCGCTGTACAATAGAACTTTCTGTGATGATGAAAATATTCTACATCTGTGCTGCCCAGTACTCTAGCCTCTAGCCACATGCAGGTTTGTGAGCACTTGAAATGTGGGTGGCACAATTGAGGAACTGAGTTTTTAGTTGAATTTAGTTTTGTTGTAAACTAACTAAATTTAGTGCAGACCTAGCGGGAGAACACAGATAAAGTCCTTAAGATAATGTACTGGAGCAAGTTTGTTCACTTGCCAGTTGGTGAAGGCTTGCATCCCCATTTGAGCATGCCTTTATTTCCACTGCCTGCTGCATACCCAATAACACTTGTTAAGTAATGAAAACTTTGCTTCTTTGTGAAAAATAGCCTGGAAAAGAAAGCAATAGCTAGTTCTGGAGAGACATGAGGAAATTATAAAGAAGAAAATCAAAGAAATTACTTTCCAAGGAAGAAATTATTCTCAGCTAGAAAACAAATACATCCTATATGTATAGCATCATTTAAGTTTTGAAGATGTCACATATTTTTAAGTGATGCTTTGTGGGAAGAATTTTAGGAAATGGAAAGTGTTTGTGAATTTGAGGATTCAAGATGGTGATGGGCTAATAGCCCATATAAATGTCAAGGGGCTGCTGTGACATGACTAAATGCCAGCTTCATAATGTGAGTTGTGTCTCTGTAGAGTAGTGTGTTTCACTTTCTTTGTTAGGCAATCTCATTCCCTGTCCAACTGTAACTATCGCTGAGTTTGCTACTGTGAAAGAACTCTTTGTAAGTGGCTGCCTTGTGCTTAAGAGTTCTTGTAAGTATATGCTGGCAACTGGTGAGGCCAGAGTCAATAAAAAAATAAAATGGAAAGATAGGACATTGCTTTTATTAAGGTTGATTGCAGCTGCTGTATGAGCTCTTTAAGAACCTTTCGGTGACCAAAGCCTTCAGAGAAAATGGCTTTTCTGCACTTAATTGGTGAAAAGTAATTATCCAAACTGGAGTCGAATAGACGGAGAGGGATTTAAGTCAGTGCTTTTAGGAGGGCTAATCCAAGGTCAGCACTCACCACATCTCCGTCACACAACTGGTCTTGTGGTAGGATTTTTTTTTTTCCCCTGAGGCTCCACGTAGGGGTTGGATGTGTGCAGAAGAGCAAGCTGGAAATCTTTAGTGGTCATTCATTGAGCTCTTTTTACTTTCCTTGAGGAAGGTGGAATTGTACAGTTTTAGAAGCTCTGGTTGGGCAATGGTTAAGTGCTCGACTGCTAACTGACAGGTTGGCAGTTCAGATCCACCCAGTGGCTTCATGGGAGAAAAGTCCTGGTGATCTGCTCCCATAACAATTACAGCCTGGGAAACTCATGTGGCAGTTCTACTCTGTCACATTGGTTCACTGTGAGGTGAGATCAACTTGATGACACCTAAAAACAATAGAATTTGAAAACTAATTCCGATGCAGAAACATGCCTAGAGAGGGTAGTTGACTGCCCCAAGTCCCACAACTCATTAGAGCTGAAGAGACAGCACCAGAGCCCAGGGAAGAGGCCAGGACTGAGACATTCTTGAGCAGAAGCTGGGGTTGAGTTGCCGAGGGAAGTTGAATAGTCAGAAAATATCTCAGGGAAGCAAATCAGGAGAGAAGTCAGAGGAAGGTTGAACCAAGTGTCAAAATGGCTTATGATATAGCCTTAGATTGGCAATCTCATCCACCCAGTAAACAATAGTTATTGGGCACCCACTGTGCTTCAGACAGCAAGCTTTGGAGGAAGGAAGGCAGGAAGCAAGTGGCAGAGGTTAAAAAAAGGAAGTCGATTCCATTTATTCCAAGATAATTTCTGAGAGGAAGCATATTTCAGTGTCTCCAAGTCCTGCCTATTTCTGCAAGGAAAGCGTGTGAAGTGACAGTCGGAAGAGGTGAGATTAAGGGGACAATTAGGTCCTTTTAGCAAGAGAGGCTAGGAATCGATTGCAGACTAACAGCTGGAAACTAACCTTAGTGGTTTTATTTCTCAATATCAATATCAAACACATTTGCCACAAAGAACCAATCCCTCTAGCATCCGTCGCTGAAATGTGACTCGGCTCTTCCTTCTCTTCTCAGTTTCAGAGCTTCAGGAGGAAGGCATGAATGCCATCAACCTGCCCCTCAGCCCAATTCCCTTCGAGCTGGACCCTGAGGACACAATGCTGGGTAACTCTATCTCCTGTCTCTTTGGATTAATTTAATGCCCTCAAGTGTAACCGTCCACTAAATCCCTTTTCTTTTTAAAGAGGAGAATGAAGTTCGAACGATGGTGGACCCAAACTCACGTAGTGACCCCAAACTGCAAGAACTGATGAAGGTAAGAAGAAAGCAGGAGGGGCTTCAGGTGCTTTACTGAGTCCTTGGGTGGCACAAATGGTTAAGCAGTGGACTACTAACCAAAAGGTCAGCACTTCAGATCCACCCAGGGGGACCTTGGAAGATGGGCCTGACAATCTGCTTCTGAAAAGTCCCAGCCACTGAAAATCTGTGGAGAAGTTCTACTCTGCACACAGGGGATCACCATGAGTTGAAATTGACTCTGTGACAACTGGTTGGTTGGTTAATTTTCAGGTACCTCACAGAAGCAATGGGCATCTTAAGACCTCCTTCCTTGTGCAGGCACCAGACGAGCCACCACAGAGGGCAACTAGCCTGTGTGAAGGTCAAGAGTGTGAAAGTCATGGCATTCCTTGCCTCAGTCAGCTCGTGGACTACTAGATGAAGATGTACTGATTGTACAAGGGTGTACATGACAAATGTACAAATGACTGATATACATGCCAGGGATATGAGAACAACTGAACTCACATTTGCCAGCACTTTACAGTTCACAAAGTCCTTTTGCTGCTTTGTTCAAGGATCCTCAAAAGCATACTGTGAAGTGGGAATTTGTATCATCCTCATTTTACAGATGAGGAAACTGAATCCCCAAAATAAGTTGAGTGATATGTTGTGATAATAGTTGAGTGTAGGAGATAGAGTTCAATGAAATAGACAGCATTCAATAAAACGTTGTATATAGTATACCTGGTTCAGTGGTTGGGCTGTGAATGTCAGATATCTTTCTCGTTCCTGAAATAGTTCATACTGCACAGCTGTCCTGTCTTAGTAACACCCTGAGCCCTCACCTTGCTCTGCAGCAAGAAGATGGAACAGCTGTGGATTGAACTCTGCCTGCCCTTTTGCCCTGAGGGTACAGGGGCCTGTATATGCATGAGTTTTTGGAGAAAGTGCCGACCCCTGCTTGTTCCTGTCAGGCAGCACTCATGTGCTGGGATGAGGAGTGAGGAGATACTGTCAAAATGGGCTCTGAATAGTTCAGGCTTTGCCATGGCTCACCCAGACCCAGACCTGCACCCAGGCTCAGTTTGAGGGAGCGGAAGATTGGAGATGCATCCTGCCACACGTGTGCCTGAGCACCAGGTGCTGTCCAAGTGCACAGCATCCACATGAAAGCCACCGCCTAGCTTCCAGGAGGAGTTGAGATGTTTTCGATCTAGTCTGCTTTGACCCTTTGAAGTTCCAGTCAACATTTTGTTTTCTTTTAAGACTCTTCAAATATAACTTCTACGAAGCCTTCCCCCATTCTAGCTGCCTTCTGACCTCTCCCAGCCTCCATAGGATCTCTCCTTTACCAGTCCATCGCCATGAACTCACCTCCCCCAGGATGTGAGTTTTAATTCTTTGTTGGTGGGTCGTCTCCCCTGTAAGCTTCTCAGAAACAGTGCTGTGTCTCATTGTTTTGGATCTGAGTCTGAGGCAGTGCCTGATGTGTAGTAGGTGCTCATTTATTACCATAGTCTAACCTTGGGGCAGTAGAACAACAATGTACTGTGAAGCCCCAAGCTCCAGGATGGGCCATCCAGTGATGGAAACCCAGTTTAGTGTACTATATGTGTTATGAAGGCTATGTGAAAGAAACTAAACACAAAAGACTATGGACCTATGATTCCATTTACACAAAACCGTAGAAAAGGCAAAACTCTCGTGGTTGCCTGGGTCCTGTGGTCAGGCAAGGAGGTTGAGTACAAAAGGGCCCAAGGAAGCTTTTTAGAATGAAGGAACTATTCTGTATCTTGATTGTGGTAGTGATTACACAACTATATATAATTACCAAAACTCATCAAGTTGTATATTTGATTTAAATAAAGTTGATTTATTTTACTGTATGTAAATAATACCTTAATAAATAAAAAAGGAGGAAAAATAAAAAAAGGAAAGCTTTAGTTTTCTTACCTAAAAACCAGAACTAATGATACCTACTTCTAGGGTGTTGCATGGATTAATTAAATGAGATAGCAAAGTATACAGTAGGCTCTCAGATAACGGCAGATACAGGGTATAGACAGAGGAGCCATGGTGGTACAATGACTAAAAGCTTGGCTGTTAACTGTAAGGTTGGTGGTTCAAACCTACTCAGCAACTCTGCAAGGAGAAAGACATGGTGATCTGCTTCCATGAGGATTACAGCCAAGAACACTCTATGGGGCAGTTCTACTCTGTCACATGGGGTCTCTATGAGTCAGAATTGAGACAAGAGGAGAGATTGCCTTGGCCCACACTGAGAAGGCAGCTTGGTATAGCGAGGAGAGCATGGATCTTAGAATGAGATGGACCTGGGTTCAATTCCAGTCTCTGCCCCCAGTTTAGTTTGTGACTTCATCACTTTATTTCCCCACCTGAAGATGAGAGTGGCAGGAGCCACCTTGTCAATTACCCACCACTGCCATCAAGTCAATTCTACCTCATAGTGACCCTATAGGACAGAGTAGAACTGTCCTTGTAGGGTTTCCAAGGCTGTAAATCTGTACAGAAGTAGACTGGCTCATCTTTTTTCTCCGTGGAGTGGCTGGTGGATATGAACTGCTAACCTTTTGGTTAGCAGCCAAATGCTTTTAATTACTATGCCACCAGAGCTCCTTCACCAGTCATAGAAAGGTTCAAATGTCATAATGGGAGAGTTTTATTTTTTTAATAAGATCTGTATTTTATTGACTGTTAAGTCCTGGCCGTATGTAATTCTTTTCCACCGCCTAATGTGGGAAGTACTCTCAACCTCGGTTTTAGAGATGGAGAGTTGGAAGCTCAAAGCAGACGAATAGCTTGCCTTGGGTCTTACAGTAAAATGAGTAAATCTGGGGTATATAACTGTAGAGCCATACTCTTGCCTGGTTCAAAGCCACACCACCAAACACTGCAACACTCTGAATGTTGCTTGCCATTAGAGTAGGGAATGATAGAGGGCTGGAGGATATTAACAGGGACACTGGTGCCACCAGCAAGAAAGGACTTAACACGTTAAAAGGAACAAGCCATTGTCATTCACACTCATAGCTACCTGTCAACATACTAGCTCATGTGGATAGTTCTGCTGCTTTTAGAGACTAAAGTTCATTTAGATTTTAATTGTCTAGTGTAAGAAAGATGGTCGCTAAGAAAATGCCCGATTGCCTCTTCTCTGATTCTCTCTCTCTTTCTCTGTAGGTATTAATTGACTGGATTAATGATGTGCTGGTTGGAGAAAGAATCATTGTGAAAGACTTGGCTGAGGATTTATATGATGGACAAGTCCTGCAGAAGCTGTTTGGTAGGAAGAGTTGAATGTTGCACTGGATGTCTTTTGTCTGCAGGTGGTTGGGTCACTTACTCCTAGCTAAAAGGATTTGTTCGCAATTCACAGCAATCACCTGGATTAGGACTGTGTATCATGCCAATGACAGATAGTGGAGTCTAGACATCCTTTCAGAATCTGCTTTACATGAATGACTTGCACAAGGGAATCTTGACGATGGGGCTGCTCACTGTAGCAGTCGAAGGTTATCAGCTGGGTAGATTAGAAGCTCCCACTGTCTATGTATGCCTGGATAACGTGGCTTACCCTCTCTGGAAAATTGTGCACTTATGGCCCCTGTAGATATATATATGGGTTTAGGGGTATGTGTATATGTTTGTGTACCCCTATGATCTGTGGACCTGTATGTATGTGTACGTCTGCAGTTTATGAACCTGTGTATGTGTGTGTGTACCCTTGTGATCTTTGGACCTGTGCATGTGTTTATGTTCCTCTGGGATCTGAGGACCTGTGTGTGTATGTGTGTGTGTGTGTGTACCTCAGTGTATCCTTCTTGAGGTTGGTTACCACTGTCTAGGGGTGTGTTCTCTGTGATGTTGTAGACTCTGTGTATGTCTGCAGTATGTCTCTGTGAAGGTGAGTATGTATCCCTGTATGTTGGTTCACAGCTGCTCATGTGGAAACGTAGGGAAAGGAGAATTCAGGGATGACCTTAGTGCTGAAAGGACCAATCAACTTGAATGAAGGTGGTTTCTCTCTCACTTTTCTCCATTTTATCTCTGGGCCAAACCTCCCCACAAGTTCTAGACTTCCATTCTTAGCTGCTCACTAGGTACCTCTACCTGGCTACACCTTAGACTGAGCTCATCTACTTTCCTGAACATGTTTTCTCTCCTTGAAGTTAATGGGACCCCTTCTTTTTCTGCTTTATCACCCTTCCCCAGCAACTTTGTGGATTAGCAGGACTCTTTCTTCTTGCTTAAAACTCTTTTCTGAATACATCCTCTCTGCAATTTTCGCCTGTCTGATCACCTCCTATCTGAACTGAATGTGTATATGTCTGTAGGTGTGAAACAACTTCCTAACTGACCTCTTGGCCTCTTGTCTTACCTTCTCCAACCCATTCCTACACAGCTGGCAGAGGGGTCGTTTAGATCAGTCCATTCTATCTTCTAACTCTCTTGACTTCCTCACCATTTAGAAGTAACTACACTAATTTTTCCCTCTTTTTGGTTTGTAGTTGTCCTCATTTCCCAAGTGATGTCTCTTACAGTCTTGTAAACTTATTTTACTTTGGATACTTCCATAACTGGGTTGGTTTCTGAGTTATGTCATCATGTGAATTAATGGTTAGTTGTTGTTTGCTATCATTGGTTCTCTGTCCAAAGGACTCCCTTTAGTAACTCTTGTAAGGTTGGTCTGGTTTTAACAAATTTCCTTAATTTCTGCTTATCTGCAAATCTCCTAATTTCACAATCATATTTGGGGGACAGTTTTGCTTGCTATATAATTCTTGGTTGGAAATTTTTCTCTTTCAAGGTTTTATATATACCATCCCATTGCCTTCTCACCTGCTTGGTTTCTGCTGAGAAATCAGGGCTTAGTCTTATTGGTTGCCCTTTGTAGGTAGCTTTTCGTTTTTCCCGTGCTGCTTTAAGGATTCTTCCTTTGACTTTGGTTTTGGTGAGTTTGATGATGATATGTCTTGGTGATTTCTTTTTGGAGTCTATCCTGTTTGGGGTTCATTGGACTTCCTGAATGGATATATTCTCATCTTTCACCATATGAGAGAAGTTCTCTTCCAACAAATCTTGGACACTTTTCTCAGTGGTTTCATTTTTTCCTTCCTATCATAGAATTCCAATTACATGTAGGTTATTTCTTTTGATGGTATCCCACATGAATCTTAGGCTTTATTCATTTTATTTGCATCTTTTTTCTGATTGATCCCTTTCCAAAGAAATTTTCAGATATTTGTCTTCAATCTCATTAATTGTGTCTTCTATTGATTTAATTCTGCTTTGCCCCTTTCAATGTTGCTAAAACAGCAAGGAGGCCACATGTTCCGACCTCCCCTAATCCCACAAGAGGAAGACAGGATTACCAGCAGTAACCCAAGGCCTATTCCTACAAGGCCAGACATGCTGCTTCCCCCCTCTAGCCCTTTTTCCAACCGTTCCTCCCAAAGCACCTACCACCTCTCTCCTGGGTTCAATAATTTGCTGCAGTGGCCACACAGAACTCACAGATTATGGGGTTTATTAGGGAAGCACCACAGGCTACAATTCAAGTTCAGGAAAAATGCTCAGTCTCTCTCCCAGCCCACCATCCCTCAGTCAACAGTCTCTCGCAGTCTCTTTCCCA